AAGACTGTAACTCTTTATGGGAGTAGGAACGCTTCATCTTTCTCTCAGAGAGGCTGTTGGTTTTGAACTGCTGACCCAATGGGTGACCACTGTGCTACCAGGGCTCCCTGACTGCCCCGCGGTAGATGTCTATATCAGTCAGGACTGCAAGCGGTAATACTGGCTTGGTAAATCCACTTTTTGAACTGAAACCTTGATGTTTCCTTCAGAAAGGATTTCTTGGGGAGGAGGGGGTTTTGAACACCTCAAGAGCAGGGCAGGCAGTGTTGCGTTAAATCCTCCACAGCACCAGGTGTGGGACTTGGCCTTCAAGAAGTGCTTGGCGCCTCCCGTAGGCAGAATCCCTTGCACCCACACGGAGCATGAGACGGGAGTCCGTGTCTCTGTCACATGACACAGCACAGTTCATCCTCTGGTAGGAAGACCCCCGCAGGTCCTTCAAAGGGTCTAGTGTCATCACACAGAGCGCTCGCTGGCTGGTACCAGAGGGGAAGGCGGGGTGATGCGAAGCACTGGGCAGAGGAGCTGCTCGCTCCATCGCTGCTTGAAGAGGGGAAGTACGGGCAGCCTCTAGAAGCTGAGAGCAGTCCCTGGCTGACAGCAGGCAAGAGAACAGGGGGCTCCATCCTATAGCTGCCAGGAGCAGAATTCTGCCAAGAAGGAGCCTGGACGTGGATTCTTCCTCAGACCCTCCAGAGGAGAGTCCCTGCCTTGCCAACACAGGGGCTTCAGATGGTGGGACCCTAAGCAGGGGGCCCACCCAAGCTTCTGATCAGCAGAACTGGGAGATCACAGATGGGTGTTGTTTTAGGGTGCTAAGTTCACCACCAGAAAAGGACACCCTAGAAGAATCGTAACACAGATGCACTCACACATGCACACCCGTGTTCATCACAGCTCTGTGCTCAATAGCAAGATGGAAACAACATAAATGCCCACCAGAGGAAGAACGTATCCACAGATGTTGGCACCTATGCACAATGGAATGCTACGTACGCATCGCTAAAAATAATGATCACACCACGAAGAACCTCAAGGCATGGAATGAGCTGGAGAACATTACGCTGAATAAAATTAATTCCCAAAAGACAGATACTATGGAACACTGTTGTAAGAAGAAAAAAATTTAAACCAACACACACGATAGATTTGCTCACCAAAGAAAACAGATTTTGATAGCAAGGGAGTGGGATAAAGCAAAGGGCCAGGCAGTTGATGGAGAGTTGACCTGAGTGAAAGAGAAGGCTTCGCGAGGGAGACAAGAAATTGATGAGGGGGAAAGGGGTCAGCTATGAAGGGGTCTGGTTAGCAGTTTAAGCTGTGCAATACAAAGTTGATGACCTAACAAGTAACCCCCACCTAATTCACAATTTTAAGAATTAAAAACAAACACATGAA